ACAATGAAACCCTAATTTCCTGATCTTCTATTTCTATGTCACCAACATCAACACCTCCTCCTCTTCTGCGCTAATATTAAGGGAAGCATATCGGTCAACCAACTCGTCTGCCATCGTGCTTGGAAACCGTGACTGGAAATCACGGTGGAAAGACCTCAATCGTGAGGTGGGGTTTCCTCTCTCTCAAGGTAGGGTTTCCTCTCTTTCAAGGGAGATTTTACCCAATATCTTTTTATTTTAAGAACATCCGTAACAAATACTCTGTAACAAATTATATTCACTTTTGCTAATTTTTTGGGTTGTCAAAATAAAAATAATTTGAATCTTTTATCTTTATTTTTTATTTTTTTTTTTGTATTTGTAACAAAGTTTGACTATTATTATTACTACTTCATACTCTTTTCGTTCTGTAATAATCGCAACACTTTCCTTTTACATCCATTTCACAATAATTAAACACTTTTTATTTTGGTAAAAATCCAATATTAATTTATTACTCCTTCCGTCCAATAATTAAGTGTTCGTTTTTAAATATTTCACAAAAATTAAGAAAAGTGAATAAAGAATAAAATTATGTGTTTAAGTACATTGAGAATAGTTACAAAGAGTATTATATTTTGTTTTTTTAGTGAATACAATAATGAAATTACATCTAATTTATTTGTTGGTTTACTAAGGTGACTAACGCGCATGATGCTCTCGCTATAACTTGTCGTATTCGGGGAGATCTTTCGGTTTTACCTTAAATCACAAATTTGGTTGTTGACATATTAATGAGGAAAAGTACATAAATAAATATTCTTAGAGGATGTTTGTTTAGAGGGATAAAAGAGGGGATAGGATAAAAGAGGAGGGATTTAACAAGCCTTTTGTTTGTTTAGAGGGATGGGGATTATGAGGGGGGTTAGGAGGGGGATTAAAAAAAGGGAGTTATCCCTCCAAATTAATACAACTAAGGGGGTGGTATAAGGGATGGGGATTAAATTTAATGGATAAAAGACATTTCTACCCTTACACTTTGTTTGGATAGAAAGAAATGGAAGGAAAAGAAGAGAAGAGAAAGGGAGGGGGATAAATTCTCTTGTTTGGGTAAAGAATTGGAGGGAGGAAGGGGAAGGAAAGAAAGGGATCTATTTTCCCTCTCTCTTTAATAAGCATAATCCTTCCAAAATTGGAGAGATTTGAAAGAAAAATAGAGCTCACCTCCCCCTCCCTTTCTTTTCCCTTCCCTTCCTCCTTTTCCCCTCCCCTTCCTTTCCTTCCTTCTTTGCTATCCAAACAAAGCATTAATGAAAGAGAAAGAAGAAGAGAGTGCAGAAAGGATAGTAAGGGCAACTTTGTTTTTTTATTAGTTATTCCAATCTAATCCCAAACCATACCAAACAATGGAATACACTATATTTATCTTTATCCCATCTATTAATTCCACCTTTTTATCCCACTTAATCTCATCCCTCCTACCAAACGCCCCATTAGGGTATAAATGTCCTCACATTATTTTAAGAGTTCAAAAGAAGTGGCAATTAACATTAATAACGGCAAATAAGAAATATACAAACTTATGATCTTTTGAGGCAATAAGTAAATAACGGCAAAGTTAACGATTGGATGTTGACCCAGGTAATTCAAAACCATAAAACGAACTTTCACTCTAGTTACCAGTCAAGTACTCAAATTGATTTCTGCTGAAGATCTATGGAGAGAAAATTACAGGCATTTGATTCTGCAAAACACAGTGAATTGATCTGAAAGACAGTTAACATTATGGTGTATGACCGTGACAGTATAAGACATCGCTTGAATGTTTTCTCTCTCATTAAAGGATAATGTTTCAAAGAATCCTTGTCATACAAAATTTGTATTAAACTTTTTCTTTGGGGTCTGGAGAAAAACACAAGGATGACACTATTTGTACCACTATCTAGCCCTATTAATGTGATGGAACTCTTGAATATAGCAGCGAGAGTTCATCGTTCATGAACTTTCGGATTGTATCATAGTAATGTGACACAAGATTAAAAACTGTGCTATAGAAGCTTGGAGACTGAAGGCTTCAAAGTTCATCTTCCATATCATCATCATCGTCACTTTCAGCTTCCTTTTTTGAGCCACTGCACAAAACAGGAGAGATTAAAAAGGTTTCAGGAAGATGTAATAGAAGCACAGTTCCAGCAAATTTAGATAAGGGTTACCAAGATCATTTTACAGATAAAAGTCAAATATAGGTAAGTTCAGGTAAATTCATCATAGGGCCACTAAGTTCGCATATGTTCCAATAAGTTCATACAAATTTAATTTACTTCTAAACTTCAACTAATAGAATTAAACATAAATTGGGAAACGGACAGAGGAAGACTTGGTCCAAAAGTTCAATAAGCATCATGACAAACACAATAAGTTAACTAAATAAAGCTGTTGACTACAACGGAAAGAAAAAAGTTAAAAAGAAAAAACTAATAGAAAAAATAGGGTAATCAATATTCATCTAAGATAATCAATTCTAGGATAAAGAGCAATTTGTTCTCTTTAAGTAAGAAATGTGTGAGGCGAAGAATCAAATAGCCATTTGCAATGCACCACCAAGAACCCCCAGACAGGATGTAGTGTAGTGTAGTGATTTGATTTAACAATTAGCTTCAAAAAGAAGATAAGGAGATTCTGTCGCACACCAGTTCATCATTTGCTGTTCTCTCCCTTCCTCACCTTCGGTGCCAATTACTCTGCAACCTTCCTAACCACACAGCATTTTTGTTTTACTGTACAGCCACCATTTCTACCCTTGCCATTCTTTCCTCACCCTTCTTAGGCCTCACTGCCTTCTCATGCAATGTGCTGATCTAGCACAGTGGCTTATGTCTGGAATTCTAGTGGTTCACTATAACCTATGAGGCACACAGTTATTGGCAAGGAGATAAAATTGAACCACCAAATGCCCAGAATAGGCCATTCCAGTCTTCAGCAATCATGATGTGAGCAAGACTAGCTATGGACACACCAAGAGAGAGGCATATCAGTGACAGGAATGAGGTAAAACATGGGGAACAGGAAGGGAAGGTGCCTGCCTGCTGGGGATAAAATGTAGATTCATAGCGAGTAGGAATAGGATGACAGAGAGAAGTTGAGAATAGGGTGATGATGGGTGTGGAGCTGGGATATCCCTAGAATGAGGGAAGGGATCAAGGAAGAGGAATAAAGAAAGACCGAAAAGGGTGGGGTGTTTGGGTGGGGGGGGGGTACCATTTCTAACTATCACATTTGTAATTTTCCATTCAGTTCCACTCCGGATGAACACGCAATATCATTATCGTCAACCATAACCTTAGGATTCTTCTTTTCCAGATATGTTTCAAAATTCCATCAATACTTTACATAACCAATAGTAGAAGGTCCAAACAAGCCTATCAAATCTTTCCCTCTTCTTTTTACTATTTATAACAACCACCACCTGGATTATCCTACCCCTCACATAGTCACATCTCTAGCTATGAAGCTTTTGATTGCCATCATTAAGGTTTTGTCTATTTTAAAATAAGCAAAAGGGCCTTGGCAGCTAGGCTAGTCCAGAGTTCCATAAGAAGGAAATGCCAGTGAATTTTCAAAATCAAAATCATAATTGACTAAGTGAAGAAAAAACACAGGGAAAATCCCAGATGAGTTTACTTTAATTGTATAGACATGGTCATCTTAAAGTCTAAGTGACTCCTGCATAGTACCACAACCCTTTCATAGCTATTTGTAGGGATCATCGATGGAAATGTTACAAAAGTCCATCAGTGTGAAAATTGTAGACTACAAAGAGCCCTAGTGACTCCATTATGCTTCTGATAGTCACCAAATTCTTAAAATAATAGTCAATCTCCACTCTCCAGGGTCATATTTATTCAGCTCTATTACACAGAGTTGCAAATAGCTAGAATGTGCATCACTAGGGTGTATTCAACAATCAACGAGATACAGAACCTATCTCCAAGCAGGAAGAACCTTATTAGTTACCCGTCCAGGCTAATACAAATGTTTCATTCATTTGCTTATAAATTCTACAACTCACACACATGCTGCTATAATGTTTCAGATATTGGAGGGATAAAATTATTAATGTATCACAGAAGAGTGCATGGGTACAATTGCCCAAATATAAACCACTCCAAAAGGCTGCTTAGGGGATTGATCCTTGTGGTAGCTGGCTTGCTGCTGTTATCTCCGTCATCATTGTTTTGAAATTTTACAGCAGATTCTAATCTGATAACTAAAACACCCATTCTCATATGACTAAATGGTAGGAATATCTTCTACAATGTATTTGGCCTTAATTTTTAAAAAGTCATAAGTGTGTGAAATTTGAAAGCTGGTAGCCTTGCTAGAGATCTTCAGCTGGTGCTTGAATAGATTGAATAATATACAAGATAAGTTACTAATATCTTTATGAATAAGACTATAAGAGTAAACCTGCTGGAATTTTGACCACTGGAAGACTAGAACACTGCTTGCAGCTTAGATGTTATTTGTTGTTATTGTTGCTGTTCTGTGCATTAAAATTCAATGTTTTTTTTCACTCCAAACGGCTAGACACTCATTCTCAAATATTTTCTAAGAACAACTACACCACACTAGTACTTGTTAAAAATCTAATGCACTCGGCTTCACTTCCAGAAAACTCCAAAGTTATTTTACTTGACTGGATGAAGCTGGCAGCCTGGCTTGAGTTTGTTGGCTGTTAAATGAGTATATAGATAATGGTCCCTGCCCAAGGACTACACTCCAAGTTTTTCCTAGAACCAAGACTAGGATATCCTACCAATATAGCAGTACACTTATCAGCACTCTTTTTGATATTCTTACCAAAAATAAATTTTACTACCTCTGTCCCATTTTTCAGTGCCTGTTTCTCATATTTCACAGGATTTAATGCAAATGAAGGAAGTATAAAAAACATGCGTGAAGCACATGGAAATAATATAAAAATTACTACATTTTGTTTTCTAGGGGAGACAATGATGAAAAAGCATGAGTGAAGTACATGTGGGCACCAACTTTGAAGGGTATTTAGGAAAGTTTAGTATGCAAAAAGGTATAAAGTGGAGGAATGTAGGTAATTGTCCATAAAACAAAAATAGAAATAGGCACTCAAGTTTGGGACACTAGAAAAGGAAAAACAAGCACTTAAAAATGGGACAAAGGGAGTACTTACTAATGGTACAAGATATATCCAGATGACGATAGCATTTAGTTCATAATTACCTAGTCTTTCTGCAGTGTTGGCTAAGATCCTCGCATAACACCTTGCCCACAGCTGCAAGTTCAACAGACCCATTTTTTATCAACTCTGCCAACTGCAACACCAATGAAAAGTCAGAATGATCAATGTACAGATATTCCACATGAGTGGATTCAGAAAGAAGTGAACCAGAAACTTGCCTCATCTTCAGTTTGCTCCAGCAACCTACTCCATTATAATATACAGAAATTAGAAATCAATTTCCTTAATCCAACAGAAAATAGGTAAAAATGTTCGTGTCACCAGAACTAACCTTCCACAATAGGATGATATATCTTTAGAATGTGCTCGGGCTTCTTGCTTGCCTAAAAAGCACACATGAAAAAGCCAGTTTCATTGATAGTAGTTTAGAGACCATATAGGACATATACTGAGATATGCAGGTTTAGTTGACATCCACAGAGGCACAACACCATTGAGGGATGAGGATACATGCATAGGTCCACAACTATTTTTATTTATGTTTATCTAATATACTAATTTGGCATAAGCCCACACAACCTCCCCCCCCCCCCCCGGGTTTAAAAAAAACACAGCCAAACAGAGAAGACAGATCCGCTAATGTGAAAACATTGCCAAAAATTCTTGCCCTGTATCACTCTCTTTTCCCTTTCTTCTAGACCTAGTCAAAAGAATTAGAATTATATCCAAATACACTACTCCTCAACAAAAATTCTTTAACTGGGTTGAAGTACTTCAGAAATATACAAAGGAAGAAAATTACATCAGATGCAGTGACAAAACATGAAAACTGCTGCTTTTTTATATTGTTCCTCTTGTAAAAGGTTTTGATGCTCTGTCCTTGAGGAGATCCTGATACTATTTTTTTTTTCTTCTGTTGTTAAAAATGTTGATAATAGAAAGGGGGTGTAGCTCATCCCCCTTCACTCAATGGGTAGATGAAGAAGTTGGAAAGTATGGTGTCATAACTCATAATTAGCCACAACAAGAATGCAGAGATAAGGAAGTTATTGTTGTTCATTCCAGTGGCGTAGTGGTAGTTGGACTCTTGGAGACAAAGGTTAAGGAATCGAACTTTCATACCAATTACCAAAACCTTTGTCCTAGTTGGGGGTCAACTACCAACTATCATTGCTTAGATAGAGATAGGATACTATTAACTGTGTGGATGCTCAACATTGTCTTTTTTTAAGTCATTCGGTGCAGGGTTTCCTCACTTCAAAAAGGGGTTGGGTCCTTCAACTCGTTTTTTCTTTGGGGTGCATTTAGCCTCTTTCGCGACCTTGTAGTGACATTTAGCTTCAAAATGTCTAGGAAAACCTATGATCCTATGAAAATGGGATTCTTAGAAGATAGATGCCTACCCAAATTCACTTGGATTATAACCATTGTAACTTCTCTTTCTATTCCATATACCATCTCCGTAAGAATTCTTCTCTGGAATTGTGGCTTAATATAAGGTAAGGAGGCCCTCTTTCTCCCTTGTTCATTGTCATTGCTATGAAATATTTGTTTAGGCTGCTTGGATATGTTGGTGGAAAATTTTAATTTTTCTTTTTCATTATAGAGAGATGTGAAGGTCTGAATTTGAGCCATTTGCATTTTGCTTATAAACCTTCAATGTTCTGTCATGGAGGCTTTAGTCTATTTGGTGGATGCTTAGAACCATTGCTTCCTCCTTTCATGCTTCTGGTCTCTGTGCTTATATTAACTCCAAGCCTAATATTGTTCTAATATACCTCATGAGTTGATCAATAGGGTTGTTGATATATTTGGAGACTCCGGGTTCTCTACCTTTTGGTTATCTCTATATCCTCTAAGCAGCTTCATGTTGCTGATTGTGATATCTTTCCTGAGAAATAATATCTAGAATTAGAATGTGAGGTTCAAGGCACATATTTTATTGGCCTTCAGTGTCCACTTTACCTAATTGTGTGCAAACTAAAGTGGTGGCGGTCTGCAGGCAATTCCTTTGGAGTGGTAAAGTCTATTATCCTAGTTGCTTAGGAATTTATTTGTAACTTTACAAACTTTTTTTTTTTTTTTTTTTTTTTTTGGGGGGGGGGGGGGGGGGTTATGATCTAGGTGCTTAGGGAATTGGGTATATATGTCTAATATGTTGCAGGTAACTTGATAATCTATAGGTCAAATGAGTAAGCATGTTATCTTTAAGAAATTTCAATAGAAGGAATTATCGTGCTCCCTTTGATGCCAGTTGATATTGGAAAAAAGTTGTAAGATCATAAAGAGATTGTTAGAAGAAATAGGAGGATAAGGAATAAGAGGGTCCGGATATATATTCTAGGCACATAACATAGCCGCTTTCCTAATAGATTATTATCAACCCTCTACAAAACAATGGGGATATCACGATAAACCTATTGGGATACAAAGAAGAGACAATTGATTTTGGTTGTTTATCAAAATCAATCAACAAGAAGTTTGCATACAAGTCTTCGTCAAACCAAGGGAAAATACTCTAAAAGAATTTCTCTAATAAAAAAAGGAAGCCCCAAAATTATTTTTCTCGTAATCATCCATCATATATGTCACATAAACTCTTTATTTTAAAGAGCATATGTGAAAAGCAGTTGATAACCAACAAACATGTCTGTTCACAAAGAAAACCATTCAAAAATCACTGATAACAGTCAAATTTGAATATTGCCCGGTCGGGCATGCAACATATCATGGAAAAAACTTGTTAAAAGCTGTCAACACCCCGCCAAGTCATACCGGGCTATGTTGCCTAGTTGGGCTCGCATAATCTCAGCAAAACTAAGATGATAGGCGAAATCCTAACTTGTGCTCGCCTAACCGGACAAATCACAAATCAATTGATTTTGCCTTATTTTGCCACATTTTGCGTAATTCTCTTTTCATTAATACTATAATTATTATACTAATCCTTCTCAACTCCTGGCAAAATATAAATCTCATATATGAACCATAAGTATATCTATATATATGTTCCAACAGAAATTTGCACCAAGTTACTAGGCAAGTTATGGATTACTTATCCTAGGGGGTGCACTATTAAAACTTTAAAGTAGATGCTGTTGGCTTAAATCTCAAGTGCAAAGAGTTAACTGGCATGTTCAGGTTTGGAACAAGCTTAATGTCCCTAAGCATACACTTCATGTGTGACTGCATTTATAGTCAGCAATGTTCAACTGCTGTGAATGATTGGCTGCAAGTGAGTTACAGAGGATCTGACTTGAAGCTCATGCTCTAATGAATTTGAAAAATATATCAAGGTATTAGGATGCCAAGAAAGTGATGCTGTATGCCATAGCTGCTATTGTTTAAATGGTTTGGAGATCTAAAAATAAGGCTTTCTGGGATTTTGGTCCTACTAAGGAAGAAAGGACTGCTAAAGATGTATTATAATTTGGTCATTAATAGAATTAAAGCTATCATTCTCCATTAAAACTACAAGGGTTGACGGAGAGTGGTTTGAAATGTTGTAACATTTTCATCCTATGAAAATTTAGTCTCTTTTGATGTTTGAGTTGAGTTGAGTTGATCCCTATCTAGTAGGTACCTCCCCCTCTTTAATCTTGGTTTGTTTAATGCATGGATTGAAAAAAAATAAAATCCTATAGTGATACTTATAATAGAGCAGAGGGAGAGAAAAGGATGAAATGACACTAATCTAGCAAGTACTGATACATACTAATCGTGAGTTTCTCCCAGTTGTTAACTTTGATCCACTCTGGTCTTTTGGAATCAACCTGCATCGAACAAAAGTAATAATTTGCAATTAGCCCAAGTCTCATTGTTCACCACGCCAAGCAAAATCATCCTCAAGATAACATATAAGTATGACTGGAAACTTTGATAAGTGAAAAAAAATAACAATAACATTGATTGCTTAATGGAGCTGAGTACACAAATCGAATTGTGGATGGATTTGTTGAAAGCAAAAAGGGTAGATTTTAAAGCCAATCCAAGACTCACCTTTTGAAGAGTGTAATCCTGCATCTTTTCACAAAGGCCATCCAGTAGTTCAACTACTCTTAGCTCGCTTACTCTAGAAGAAATTGCAAAATATAGATCATGCAGTTAGACATCACTTGCAAATATAGAGTAAATGGCTGTGAGCATAAGCATGGTCCATTAATGGAAAGAAACTATAATCCCAAATTTCCAACCCTGGAAAAGAGGCCTATTTAATACCAAACTCAATCTAGATTGTTCATGTAGTTTGGCTACTTATGGCTCGACAATGGGTATATCTCAACTCTCTCCTCATCGTATGGGTCTATCGTTTTATCTCAATTTATCTCTCTTTCCCTAAGATACCGTGCATGCCCTCCACGTTGCAATTAAAAGAGAACAGAGGTAGTTTTTTTAAATAATATACATAGCCTCATGAAAGTACTTAAGATAGATGATATGTTCAATAAACAATACATACATTTAGCAATTATCCTGATGAAACCTTAACCATATCCAAACTCAGTTTGTAGCACAAGCTTGAAGATAAAATTTTAAAGTATAAGGGTTAGTTTGGCATAGAGTCTGTGGGATAATACCTGTAATCAATCACTTTTCCTCTACGCTGTCCCTTTGAATCCAAACGATTTCTCAAATCCAAATGATTCCTTGGTTTCTCCTGAATTATATTTTTTTAAGAAATATTATGTTTCATAAAAGTGAATATTTAATGAAATTTATATTATGCAAAGCAATACTTCAAAGATACAAAAGTGCCATGACAAGCAATGAAGCTTGTATTAATATAATGTTGAATGGTGAACTCTCAACACATTTATTACTTTGTAAACCTCAAATGACATGATACACAAATGTATTTATTATTTTGCAACTGGACGTATATGTATATACATCTGAGGTGTTGTGATCACCAAAAAAATGACAAGGAAGCAATCCAGGAGATTGGGTGGAGAGAACTAATAATTAGTTACAAAAAATTACATACGTGCATACCATTCCATCTGAAGACTAATAGTCAAATAATCAAGTGGTAGAGGTGAAAGGGGATAACAATGGTTCTGCAATTACCCAATTTTAGGTTTAATAAAATAAAAAAAAAAAAAGTAAAAAAAAAAAGGCATATTTTATTGTCAAACTTCGATGCAAGGAGTCAAGCAAGAAGTGCATTGATAGGAATATAGGTTCACACATGAATTATGGTGTTATGCTAAAAATTGAGTTACCACAATTGAGGATATGGATGGCCAACTTGCTTCTTTGTACCCTATATCTCATATATCTGCTCCGGAGATCTTGTAGTCTGATAAAGTTCATGGAATCATATGGTTTCCAACATATCATATCAAGTGTAGTCATAAAAATGCTACAGGTGTAAAGTGCATGCCTAAACATAGTCCAAGCACTTAACACAGACAATATGCATAGTATATAATCTGGATAATCTCTATCAAAAATTCTTGTCCAGTTTAGAGGAATGTTTGTGCTTGGAAACCGTCTGTGCCTTATAACTTCAACAGAGTTTTTTGCACGGATTGTAGATACTAGGATCCTAAGCAAGAATAATTTACCTAATTTCCTAATACTCCTAACCTCGCCAAGACCATGCCATGGCCAGTTTCATTAATTGACAAATGACAACGAACATTTCATGACTTTCTTGTAGGAAGCTGCAAAAGCTTCTAAGCATATAGATAGCTGGCTCACTCTAAATTACAAGTTAGACAGCTGTAGTACGGGTATTCCAAATTCTCTAATCTTCGGAAAATATCATTAAGAAAGCTACATCTGTTTCTTTTGTCCATATGCAACATACATTTATGAAAAGATTTCATCAATGAAGCCCCAAAACACCAATTAATTACGATAGCCACCCGTTGCAAAAATATATTACTCCAATTCAAGGAATCCTATAGAGTAAGGGATAAGACAAGGCCGACAACTCAAACTTCCTCTCCTCTCCTCTCATAAGATACATCCAACATAATATATTATAATGCCAATCAAAACAGCCAAAGTTCGATTATAGCAAGCTTCATAATTTCCGTTACAAATCCCTGACCGATAATTTCGCAACATGAGTAATGGCCTAATGAGATTATATGGAATAGTATTCACATAAAATCAGAGTTGAATAATGAAATAAAATTGAAACATTGTCTTTTGCAACCACATATTAAGAGCGCAAAAGTAAGAAAGATTGAATTATGGCATGAATAAGCAAGAAATACAATTTACAAAAGAAAAAGTGAAATTACAAATGCTTACATTAGCAAGCCCATGCTCCAGCTCTTCCTGCAAGATTGAAAAAACCGAAATTCAGAGAACAACGAATCGTTTCAATTTCTCAAATTGAATAAAAAACGTAAGGAAAATGTCATTGATTGAGACGAATAATCACATGCAGAATCGCAGATCTACAATACTATCAATTGAAAAAGAGATAAATGAGAGAAAGAGAGAGAGAGAGAGAGAGACCGCAACAGCATGGCAAGCAGCGCATTTGTCGTCGATAGAAGCAGCGAAGGTTAGGATGGTGAAGAATGTGGCAAGCCATAACCAGGATGCCGCCATTGTTGTGTAAGCTTGAGATGTTCTGCTCACCAGACACTAAAAGCTATATTGTTGGAAGACGACTCGATCGACTCACTAGTCGTCTATGTACTATGTAGTGATCAAAACAATTGGAAATTTGGAAATTGTTGAATGGCAAAAAGGTTAGAAAATTCCAAAATTAGAGTTGAGTCTCATAGGGCCGTGTACAGGTCCAAAACTATCGAACTCCAATGGGATACTATTAGGAAAAGAAGGTTGGAATTATTTGTCCCGATTGAGGACAATATCGGTATGGTTTTTAACAGTTTGGACAATTTGAACTTTACTACAGAGTATGACTTCATCAAAAATTACTCCCTTCATTGCTAAATAATTAACACGTTTGACCATGATTTTTTTGTAATATACGAAGTATGAAAAACATAATCTATCATGAAATATATTGTTATCTATCAACTTTTTTCATATTCTTTACCATTAATCATATATGTCTAATATCAAACTAATACATTGGCACGTATGTAAGTTTGACAATGTCAATTACTCAAAAACGGAGGAAATAGAAAATGGTTTATTTATATTTTAAGAAAATACAATTCTTCGACAAAATAGTAGTCTTTCGTATATTCTAAGCACAATACAAAAGCAAATGATGTATAAAACATATCCAAATTTGAAATAACCCTTATGGCCTTCATAGATCATTGAATAAGAATCGACATTAAGGTGTCATTTATGTCATTCAAGAGATTTAAATGTTGTGTTAATAATGATTGATAATGCTTTACTTGAAGAATGAACTTCCAAATTTCAATAATATTTTATCCATTTACATATTCAACAAGGATTCACAACCTTTCAAAGTTTAAGAAAGCTATCTCTATAACCAAGTCTTAGTAACCAAACTACTTTTCGAGGTCGAAGAATTGTCATTTTGGTGGGGTAAGAATTAATGCTTCAATATTTTACTTTTTACTCAAAAATTGGAAATTGAACTTTCCACCATAAAGCATATCTATAGACTTCTGTATATAACTTAGTACCATAAATAAATCTTTAATATGAAATGAGTTGCTCACATGTATATATATTTCTCAAAACTCCAATTCCTTGTGAAATGAATAATAATGGAATTTTGTTGTATGAATTTAAAATAATATGTACGAAACAATTCTAAGATAGAAATTAAGATCAACATTTAAACAAAGTAGGAATGCCACAATTAGTTGGTTAGAATTTCGTTTATATCATTATTTTAGTACCCTATTTGACTCTCTATACATACATATATATATATAAAATAAAGGAAAATAAGTAGTGTGAAATGCCTTATATAGGAAGGATTGAATTTTCCAATCATGATTTGTTTGAATTTCTTAAAATACTTTTAGAAAAGAACAAACAATATATGTACATGTTTAATAATAATTCATGTAGTATAAGTTTTAGCAGCTAAAACTTTGACTCAATTAAATATCTCAAATGCTTAAAATTAGGTCTAATGAAAAGATTTGCATTTTATAACTATAATGTTGTGAACTTGTGACATGTGAAATCAAACTCCACTAACAAGCCTATTGATTTGGGTCGAAGTTTTAACCTATAATAAATATTACACTCAAAATCTTAATACCAAAGAAACCCCCAAGGCCCATACTTTGTATATTTAACCACATTATATGAGATCAATCAACTTGATGATACTCAATTAACTCAAATGTTACAAGTGCAACCACCCATAATCATAATCATGCCTTGTACCCACAAATATTTTTTAAAACAAAAAAACAACACATGATCATGTCTTGAATGAATAGATTTTAGAAAAAAAATAATAATAAATCAATTAAAAAATTATACATACTCCGTAACTTCATTTCATCGAAAAAGAGTTACATTTAGTACTATTTTAAATAAGTATTGATATCATATTTTATTTCAAAGGATGATTTAAATTGGAGAAAATACAAGTTTATCACCTTAATAAATAAAATGACAAAACTCTAAATGAAATAACTTTTTGTTAAATATGAGCCCACATTTATTGATAGAATTACGAAATAATCATGCTAACTACATATTTTTGTTGATTTATTTACGATTTAGCCCATGAAGCCATGATAATGAACCTGATAAATTGGGGTTCTCATTTTAAATTATCAGTCTAATTAATCCGCTTTTTTAAAAAGTAGAGAGCATAGAGAGAGAATGACATATGGGATTGGATAATGGGAAAGAGCAAAAATGAGTCGCTTTTGATGTTGTTAAGCGTATTTATCAATTTTTTTTTACTATGTAAAGAAAACAAAACAAAAGAAATTCCACTTCCTATTATTTTAAAAGAAAAAGAATTTGTGTGTATTTCTACTTTTCCCACCTCCTCCCATTTATTATCTTACATCTCTTTTGGATCTTCTTCTTCAACACTGACATAACCTAATAATCTTACTCAGATTTCATCATCTTTGTCTTTTTTTTTGTTTTAATTTTCAAATTCTCATTTTGTTTTTTCCCCTAAAATTTATACATCCATTCTTTGTATTTTTATTAGAGTTGCTGGTTCTTTGGCAATGCTTGGTAAGCTTCTCTTTTTACCTTTCTTTTTTTCTTCTTTTCTTTTCATTTTTACTGTGAATTTGTTGAGTTTTGATTTGGAAATCTGAAGTGGTCTGTTGTTTTTAGTTGGAATTATAATGAGTTATAAGTTGATTTTCACATGCAATTTAAATTGATGATTTTTGTCACAGATCTGGTAATCATTTCTTGGTTTATTTGCTGATTTCTTATATGATTGTGGTTAGATTATGTCTTCATTATTCTCCTGCTAGTTATGTATCGAACTTTTAAATGCCAAATTGTTTCTGGGTTTCATTCTCTTTTGAATTTTGCATTGCTTTTCATGTGAAAAGAAAAAAGCCTTGAAATTTTATATTCCTTTTCTTTTTCTGCTGCTAATTTATTACTGTAATTTTTCTGGGATTTGATGATATATAGATATAGTATGTTTTTTTTCGAGGTTTGATGATCCCATATATACGCAATGTATTTGTAATATGTTTCATTTATGATCTATAAGGGTTCAAAACTTTTTTTTTTTTTTTTTGCAAGTCACTGTTAGTAATGGTTCTTACATCTTCCCAATTAGGAATTTATTAATTAATAATTCTGCTTTGAGTAATTAATCTAATATCAATTCTTTCATATCAACATAGGTCTATAGTTCTTGCGGTGTGCTTTATGTGAATTGGCTTGAGATATAAGGGTGGGCTTGAGATATAAGGGTGGGCTTGAGAAGGAGACTTATGCAAATTGGGTTATAGTAGTAGCTGTTGATTGGCATTCATCGTCGAAATGATTGCTGATAGAGATATTGTCGAAGACGGTCTTTGCCAGGATTTGGAGTCTCTGAGTGTGTCAAGAAAGCTTGTAAGAAGTGTCAGCCAGAAATTACGGAAGAAGAGAATTCACAGAAGTGCCGGGGATGAAGAGGAAACTGCTAATGGGTTTTCTTTGAGATGTCTCACTCTGTATGGAAGAGGTGGAGGTTGTAAAGTAGGGGCTGACACCAGTGAAGAATTTGGAGATTCAAGCAATAGGAGGAGGTCAAGTGCTAGTGAAGAAGGGAAAGGATTTAAACCCATATGCGGGGCTGAGGAAACTGGAGTTGACTGCTTTTCGTATGGAAGGAAGGATCGTTTTTGGAAGCGAAGTAATAGAAAGGAGTTAGAGTATGAGGGATCTAACAGAAACAGCAGAATAAATCTATCACTTCCAGATGATATCTTAGAGATGTGTTTAATGAGACTTCCTTTATCAAGTCTCATGAATGCCCGTCTTGTGTGTAAAAGATGGAATAACTTGACAACAACTCCTCGATTTATGCAGATGCGGAGTGAGGGTCTTTATCAAACTCCATGGCTATTTGTTTTTGGTGCTGTTAAAGAAGGTTATTGCACTGGGGAGATTCATGTGCTTGATGTATCTCTTAATCAGTGGCACAACATAAATGCTGAAGTTCTCAGAGGAAGGTTCATGTATTCTGTTGCCAGCATGAGGGATGAGATTTTCATTGTTGGAGGCTGTTCCAGTCTGACTAGTTTTGGAAGGGTAGATAGAAGTTCTTTCAAGACACATAAGAGTATGTTGGTTTTTAGCCCCTCAACAAAATCTTGGCGTAAAGTTGCGTCTATGAAGTATGCTAGGTCATCCCCCATTCTTGGGATTTCTGAGGTAAGTCTAGACTGTCCAGTCGTGCATAGTCAGTCAAATCGTCAAGATCGGCGTTTTCCAAGGTCAAGGCTTGGTGGGGTCTCCGATGTATATGAGGATCCCCACCGACTCTCTGTCAGACGACAGCTGAGAAACTTGTCTGATGAAAATGCCGGTTTCTTGGCTCCAATTAAAAAACAATGCAGGCCTTTGAGACATAGGAATGAGACTTCAAGCCTAAGGGATAAGAGGTTTGTGCTGATTGCTATTGGTGGTCTTGGTTCTTGGGATGAGCCTCTAGATTCTGGAGAGCTGTATGACTCTGTATCAAATAAATGGATTGAAATTCCAAAACTTCCTGTAGATTTTGGCATTGTTTGTTCCGGAGTGGTTTGTAACGGGACATTCTTTGTCTATTCAGAGTCTGACAAGCTTGCTGGCTATGATGTAGAAAGAGGATACTGGACTGTTGTCCAAACAACCCCTTCACCTCCTCGTGTTCATGAATATTACCCCAAACTTGTTTCTTGTAATAGCCGTTTGTTCATGCTTTCTGTGTCGTGGTGTGAAGGAGATGGTCAGATAGGTAGGAGAAACAAAGCCATCCGAAAGATGTGGGAGCTCGACCTTGTGTATCTTGCTTGGATTGAGGTATCAGTCCATCCTGATGCCCCTATGGATTGGAATGCTGCATTTGTTGCTGATAAAAACCTCATCTTTGGAGTTGAAATGTTCAAAATATTTGGGCAAGTTTTGGACTTCTTTACCATTTGCAATGTATCCGACAAGGTCATGAAATGGAGTCATATATCAAGAAATCGTGTGGCTCTTGAACTTGATGCATCTTCGTGTGTGACAAAAACTATCATGGCTATACATCTCTGACCCTGCATCAGAGTTCAGCCAGATAAACAGTGCCAGAAACATATGAAAGAATTGTGCCAAAATTGGCCCGATTTAGGTGAGTTTTATGAAAGTCTTCGATACCCTGTAGACATTTACATTGTTTGGCATGCTTAATATGCAATTAACATGC